ATAGGAATTGGATAAAAGTTACGCTCTGCCCAGATATCTCTAAACCAATAGAAACACAAGTAAAATTCAAACTATGGAATTTTGCATTGCTGTTTGTTTTACCCTTTGATAAAAACAGGGACACATTCATCAGGGACGATTAGAGAACAGATTAAATGTACTGAATTTGTATTTTAAGTGCAAATATTTTCTAACGTTAGTCAGCAAAAGCCAATGATAACCCCATCGACAAATAAGATTGTAGCAGAAAAATATCTGAGTTCAATTAATTGAGCAAGAGAGCATTTCACTACTTGTGAATTAAGCTTTTTCTTTTGTGAAAGGAACATTTTATAATTTCTTTCAATGTATTTGTCATACTTCAGTAATGGTCTTTTTTTCTTTTTGCCACTACAGTGTATGTAAAAGTAACAGCGAAGTAAATAACACTTTTTATATAACTATTTTGATGTTCACTGTATCTGTAAATTAGGCTGGAATGAAATATACATCAAGAGTGAGAATAAAGAAAACATTTCAAACTTATCTGACTCTGCAGCTTTTATAATGTATAGCATCCCGTAGTCCATGCAGTTCATAGAGTCAACAGACTAATTACTAGCGGGTATTATATAATAATATAGGGGCACATTTTCCAAGGAAGAGAAATGACAACCAAGTGACTACGATGAATACCTTCTTCAGCTTCACACTGCTGTCTGCTTGAAATCTAACTAATACACAATAGTGCTTTTAACATTACATCTAAGGCTTTGAAACACCAGCATGTCTCACCTGGGCCACTACACTTCATGATATAAGGAGGCATGATGGGATTTGTCTGCAATGGAGAACCAAGGATAAAGCCAGATAATGGGAAGAGGATATTATTATTATTCATGAAGAAATATGAAGGCAGACTGCTGTGGAAGAATCCAGCCCACTGACACTGTACACTAACTTTAAATAGAAGCCTTACTGTGAGGCACAGCGGTCACACACTTATATTACATAATTACAGATATGACTAAAGAGAGGAAACAAGCCATGCCACATAATGTCATTGAGAAGGGTTGTTTCCCTCTTTTGGCTTCAGAGGAGGTGTTAAACAGATGTATCTAGGTTCTTCACATAATTTTGTTGTTCTTTTTTTGTTCAAATGTCTGGCGGATTGTCCCTAACTTGGACACATTGTGTATATATTCTACCAGCTGTTGGTCTACTCCCAAAATCAACACGTTATTGGTTTGTTTATCTCTCACCTGCATTCCTGAGCTTTTTGTTCCTGTATACAGAGAGAATGACGAGGACATTGCCCAGTATGTCCACCACTATGGTGAAGATCAGCACGCTGGCCAGCGCAGTGGACACTCCGGCGGAGGAAGCGCTCAGTCCGAGGTCGCTCTCGTTCTGGGACAAACAGATAGATCCATTGTTGTCCATCACCTCTAAAACCATGTCCCCTCAGGGTGCATCGGTCACGGTGGGAATGCTCCAATGCTTAGCTGGAAACCCATAATATCTATAGACCAAACATTAAAAACGACTTTACTGGAAGGAGTCTTTAACTTTTGGATACTCCTGCACCGCCTGTGGAGTAGTGGCAGGAAAGACAGGAACCGTGACATGATAATGAGAATATAAATAGACTTTGTGCACGCATGGACATCTCTGCAGTCAATCTGAAGGGTGATAAAGATGCCATGAGCTCGTGTTTCACTGATGTCCTCAGTGTGGTCCTTTCTGCGCGCAGCTCCATTCTGACAGGACTCAGGAGTCTAGTCCAGCAGGCATGAGAGCGCTCTCCTGTGCGGAATGAAAATGCTCCGGATGCGAGACTCAGATACAGAGAAACGGATAGTCTTGTGCTGGCTGGCCATTAATAAAGATTATGCATTCTGTCTGAAGGGCTGGCTTGAAGCGCTTGTAAGATTGAGAGATTTTTCCAAACTAAAAATGGTGAGCAATCTTTACATCAAAGACCTCTTGAGGGCAGCTTCTCTCGTTCAATAACAACAATAGACTGAATGTGTTGTTAGGAAAAATCGTGCAAAGGTTACTGAAGCTTATATGCAGTATATATACATCAACAGCCATTAACAACGTGTCAGGTTTATACTGACCTTAATACAAGCAGAGCCTCTCTTGCATGGAAATGGCGCCTTCCAATGGAGACTCTTGCAAACACAAAAATAAATGTTTTACAATTTATTTTACTGTATATTCTGTAGCATTTGGTTATTTTATTACACATTCTGTATTTATGTAATACAGAAGGTTAATGTTAAAATATGGACAGTTTCGAACAATAACTCATATTGCTTTAAACTAACCTAATACATTTATGTGGAACCTGTTGACATAACACATTTAATTAAAGGTCACTCAATACTTCCTGTATTGTTCAAAAATACTATATACCATAGAACAGAATATTGTCCTCTAATGGATAAGAACACCATTTGAAATTGTAATTGGATACTGTATTTCTGGGTGCCTTTAGCTGAAGGTGTGAATACATGTCTAACATTTAGAAGGTCATGGGTTCGATCCCGAGCATGAAAAGGAGGCCATTGATGTTTGAAAGGATTTTGGTTACAAGAAAAGTTTTCCAAAATGATGCACAAGGAACATTTTCCTAAGCTTTGGTGTATAACCACGAGGATACCCTGAATGTGTAAAGTAACTTTGGTTGCAATACACGGCACAACAGTGATTAAATATATTTCCAAACGTATTAATTTGTAGCACTACACTGTGATAACAGTGAGAATTGGCAAGAAAAATTCAGAACAAATATGCAAAAAAAATGGTCTAACCTTTTGGTGCAGCATGAGCTGCCCTGCGATGGGCCGGCCCAGCTGACCAGCGGAGTCCGAGGGCTTCATCACCATTTTAGCATTTGTGGTCTGAAATGTTCCTAAATAAATTGTGTATTGTGTTTTTCACAATGTACTGTGTTTTTAGCACTTCTTAACACGTGGATTGTGTGGTCATTTAAATCTTTTATGATTCGTATGACGTTTTAATGCTTTGTCAAGCACTTTTTGACTATGTCTGGGAAAAGCACTTTATAAATAAATGTTACTTACTTACTTAAAGCATGTTCATGAACCCCTTGGAAAGATGCTGTGCCATTTCCAATAGCTAAAGTTGTTTTAATGTTTGAGTTTGGCTTCTCATTTAATATACACGGCTACTACACGGCTACTTACTCTTAATTATAATGCAGTCACTTCCCCACATTATGAAATTTGAATTCATTCCTGACACAACACACCGTCTAATCACTTTAGCATGGGGAAAATGTGCAAACCTGTCAGTCAGTGGGAATGAGTCTTGAATGAACTGTGGCGTTTTTCTGTTCACACAAGCACTGTGGCTGTGAAGTAACTGAACTCAACTTATGTAAAAACTTTAGAGCCCTGGGGATAGATTTTTGCATCACTCAACAGAAAGTGACAGGTCTTTTAGAAACGTAGACATAAACACTCTCATGTTTACAACAGAGGCCCCTAAACTGTCAAAACAGTGGGGCCATGTTTGTAGTTCTGTTCCTGAAAAATATGGTCACACTGCAGATTTTAATGTTGCTGTCACCGCAAGGTAACATGTTCTCATCCCATGGTGTCAGTGAACACAATGTGCAATCATGAAAGAGTACCAATGCAAAGTGCTGACGGATTACATTTGTATTTAAGGTTTGCACTGAGAAGCCTGTGTGTCATTAAAAAGTGTTGAGATCACATTAATCAAGCTTAATTGATATTAATAATGAATAAAATGTATTGCACTTGGCACTCAACTTCTTTGTAAGTTGATAGCTTGTGGATTCAAATGTAATATTATGGATAGTGGATACAGTGACTGTATGAAATGAAACACCCAATGATTATTTTTCCTGCCTATTCATGCCAGCTGAGTGTAATGCAGGAGGTAATAATGACAAAGTGCCAAGTTAGCTTCACTGCCAGCACAATAGTGTTAATAGGTCAAAATGGTCCACTCCCCCCTTTAAAATACACAGAGAAACTTCTGAGGTTCAGCGTTACTGACTCAGACAGTATTGGTTAACCACAAACATTTAAACCTCTCAGCACTTCAGCATAGTGTTACAACGCCTCAGAAATAGTGTTGGCTGTCTTTCACAATTTAACCTTCTTTATTATTATTTATGTTAGTAGAACTAGCAGTAAATTAACCTACAGTTAACCTTAGTGCCCTTAACAGTTAACACAAGAGCAAAAACATGTGGCTCTGTGTTTTTTTATGTAAATCAACTGTTAATTACAACATTTTAAGAAGAAACCTCCCCCTGACGTGGGTAGCTTATGTTTAACACCTTATTAAAAATGACTACTTACACAGCCACTAAACATTAGCACCCCATCTAGTCATCTGATAAATGTTAAGTCCAATATGCACTTACCTTTTCATTTCCTAAATATGTTTTGCCTGTGCATTTCCTGCGATGAAAAGTCAAAATGGTTGCTATATGAAAAAGCTTTCAAGCCTAACTCAGTGTGTATATTGTTTATTCCGATAAGAAAAGTCTATTACTGTTGACTAATACAAATCAAATGGAGAATATCTATTAAAAACTCTCTCACCTCAAGGTCAATTTAGTATCTGTGCTAAAGCTTTTATCTTCTAATATGGAATCATGCCATGACTTCCATGACTCTTTTATCTTGACCGTGGAAACAACCAAGGTCAGTAAAGTTCCATCATAGTTTGTCATCAGACTTGTTTTAGCAACGATTATTGTTTCAGATATTCTAGAATTTAATCAAGAAAAATATCTGATTAAAAATGTATTTGAAAAAAAACTCAAGTAGTATCATTAATGCTTTCTTTTACCAAAAAAATCACTGAACTAAAAAGTGCTATAAAGATCTCACACAAAAAAAACCTTCAATTCACACACTGTTGACCTGTTTGATCAGCAGTGTAAGAACCACATAATAGTGATTGCGATGTAGAAAACTTTACATGAAAAAAAAGTCTCATTATTGAAACTATTAATAATTGGAATCACACCAAGTCCACTTTATTGACTCACAAAATGCAAAACCAGATTCTTCATTTTGTATACCAAACATACCTTTCCGAAAGCACTGAACACACTTACCATCCGGTTCCATCTGTCCACTTACTTTTACACTGCTTATTGCATAAACCTTCTTTTACCACATCACTGAACATTAAAACTATGGCTACGTTTGTTAGCGTATATATACTCGGACACTAAATGTGACAAACATCTAAGGCACTAGAAGTCCACACATTCTGCTGAAGCACGCTATTCTGAAAGTATGACGAGGGTAAGGACAAAAATATTCACAGCAGGCTTTTCTGCTCGGCAAATAACGCAAGAGACATCACATTGAAAATACAAAACAAAAGCACATCTCTTGTTTCTGAGTCAAAAGATAGGAGCTCATGAAGCAGTCTTTGTATTAAGATGAGCTCCATTACAGTTTTGAGTATGAAGATGAAAGTCTATCTCCAAAAACGATTCACCCATATAAAATGGAAATATAGGCACGGTTATGTCCTGGCTTTTTTCCGATTGCGGTCAAGATTCATGTCCAACAAAGCCTGAGAACACAGGTGGCATCCATCAGTCACAGCCCCTGTTTACACATCTGGAACATCATGGCCGATATGTTTTGATTACGTCTTTGATGGGCCTCCTGCATATCGGACAGCACGCATTGATCTGTCTCTTCAGCTTCAGCCCACAGTCGCTGCACAGACACATGTGTCCGCAGGTGTAGATGACCGTGTCCACATCCTGGTCGAAGCAAACAGTGCACTCTCCGCTCTTCCCAGCAGGGGGCAGTTCAAAGGCGCTGAGAGTGGGAGAGACCGGAGGGCTGAGAGGAGAGCTGGGAGCAGTCACTAGATAAGAAGAAAGAAAACATGTGTGAGACCGGAGGAGTAGACGAGGATGCAAGTACACATTAAGAAGAGTATGCCAGGTTCTGATCCTTAATAGTGTTGCTTTTATACTCTGCTTTGGATTGTGTGTGTGTTTTGGAGAGTGTTTTTACAAGCCATGAAAAATACAAATGTTACAATCTAATCTTTGCTAACACATAAAAGGAGTATGTAATAGGGTTGCAACTAAGAGAGATTTCCATAGTTGATGTATCTGTTATCTATTTCCAAGTTAATCTATGTAACATCAGGAAATAATTCAAAATGCTCAGCTAATTTTCCTAGAACCAATGGTGACACCATGATAATACATGTTTTGTTGAACTCACAACAAATGCAACAAGAATACACATGTTTTATCCTATTCTATTTAAACCTATGAACACACTGATTGAAGTAGTGGGATTTAATTTAACTGGAATTCTTTCCTTCATGAATGAATGGTTATCAGCTTTGCATGTAAATAACTGCCAAGTGATTGTCTTATCAGTTACTTGACATAATGTTGCAGCTTTGTATGCACCAAAACATTGAGGTTTATCTGTTACAAATGTTACATAGAATCCAATAAAACGTCTTTCTCATAACTCATGATGAATACGAGCCTTCATGCAGTGACTTTCATATATTGTAGCATCAGGTATGCTGTCAACATGTGGTGACCTACCCAGAGAGGATTCAGAGGCGGAGGAGGATCTGTTGACGCTGAACGCCAGGTCTGAGTCACTGTCGTCTGGACTGCTGCTCTGAGAACTGCTGGTGGATGTGGAGGGAGGACTGGACTGCAGAGTTCCTGTGCCACAAAGATAAATACGCATGACCCAGATAATTAGACTCATGTAAGACCTTTAAAGGTGCCATTCAGACAAAGCGTATTTAAAACTATGGATGGCATTACAATACAGTGACCTTGAACAGTTTGAATGTGACTCTACACAAACCATCCCTAAGCAGCCATATTATATGTGCATATTTGTATTACTTGAAGTCTCAAAGAGAGATTTTCTTTTGCTTTCTGTTTGACGATACTATTGTTGGGTCTGTGCCGAGGGGAGTTTATGTGGGAGTAGTGGGACTAGATCAGATAGGTCACCGCTCTAAACTGAACAGACACATGCAGACATAAACTGCTAAACTGCATTCCTTTAGTCTGGGAAAAATACATTGCAAGGGCTGCCTAGTCTCAAAAATAGACTGATGATTATTGAAGAGCATGTCCTTTTCAGGGATGGTAACATTTAGACATATTTTGACATTTGTTCACATGCTTTCTTGCAGAGAGTTGGATTTCGAGTGTGTTATCGCTGTAGTTTCTGTTTATTAAATGTGAAGTTACAAACAGGAGTAGTAAGCTTAGTTTAGCACAAAGACAGGAAACAGGGTGAAACAACTAGGCTGGCTCAGTCCATAGGGAACAAAACCAGCACCTTACTGGAAAACACATTACAGAACAGAAGACTGATGCAAAAGGCCAAGTTTTTTATAACATTTGGTGTATGCTTTTAAAGATGGCATCTCCACAATTGCTTTTGACAGTTCCACCAACATTGTAAAACTACAGGAATGTTTGAGGTTTTGGTTCACATCTCTGTGTCTCTGTAAGTAGCTTACCTAGTATCCTGAGTCTGTTGACGGCCCCATGCAAGGTGAAAAAGGCCCACAGGACCTGAGAGGAGTCCACACAGAGCAGCCTGCCACGTGCTACTCCATTTACCCCATGATGCACCTCTCCACTGGGCAGCAGACTGAAGCTGAGCACGTCTCCAGAGCAAGGCATGGGGAAGCCCCGGTGCACCACCCAATACTCTTTACGGTCCAGGAGAACCTCAGGGTCCGCTGGTAGGTCCCCTGCGTGCAGACTGGCGGGGTCACATGATGTTACGCCAAACAACAGCGCCCCAAAGTAGGGCAGGCCCAGGTGGCCCACTTCCACGTACAAAGTCTCCCCCATATGCAGCGGCCGGTCACTGAACACCAGAGTCCGACTGCTGTCCAGAAAGTGGATGCAGGCTGCCGAGCGGTCTGCGGAGAGAATCACATCGGGGCCACGGACTGGGTGAAAGTGCAAGTCATTGTCCAGCGGGGAGGGAAGGCCACGGGCCAACCTCGGGGTGCCGAACCCAGTGGAGGCCGAGGAAGATGGTGTGGAGGAGGAAATGGTGGAGGAGCAGCAGGGGATGAGCTGGTTGTAGTTATTGAGCTGGAGGGTGGCCATCTTGGCAGCAGCAGCCTGGTTGTTCTCCAGTTGGTTGTTGTTGTAATTTGCCGAGTCGTGGCTACTCTGGGGCAGATAGGCACTCAGACGGGCCGCACTCAGGCAGCTGGACGCCACACTCTCAGCAAACGTGCTTTCTGTGATGGAGAATATCAACAAATAAGTTTCGTGACTGATGTACTGTATGATACGATCTAGCCCAATTTAAGCACAGGTCATTTTTTTTCGCGTCCTTTTTTTCGGGAGGACTTTTTTATGATGCCTGAGGAAAAGCTTGTTCCTAAGATACAATCTTCATGAGTTTCTGCAGCCTCCTTGATGTTGGTTTTTTGCTCTATGAGCGCTTTTGTTTATATAGGGCATATTAAAGTGCTGCAAATTGTAGTGATTTTACAGATTAATCTGCTGATTGTTTTCTCAATTTATTAATTCTCTATAAAGTATGCCTATAAAATATATGACCAATGAGCAAAATGGAAGCTTACTGTCACACAAGAAAAAAACATGCAGAAAATATTTGCATAAAGATTGACATAGAAATTACAAATTCATTTTTCGTCTCATAGATTAATTGAGTAATCGTTGGGATACTATACAGATTTGTAACAGGACGTTTTAAAAAATGTATTATTAACACATATAATATATTTATAATGTTTAATCTTGTTTTCCACTGAGACTGACAGAAGGCAATGATTAATGCATGAGAAATGCAAGATTAAACACGTCTTTTAGGCAGTAATCCAAGGTAATGCATGTTAATGGCCACCAGTAAAAAGGTATCTAACTCTTGTGTTCATTCCCTTTTCTATCCTAAAAGGGACATAATATGAATAAATGACTTTGTTTACTGCCTGTGCACGTACATACTTTTGGGTATGTCTGGAGTGCCTACCAACCCACGCAGGTCAGTTTTTTGTGAACGGCCTCAGTCAGAAAACATGGCATTCACCCCACGTCTCAGACTGGCCTTCCCTGGTCTCATGCAGGCTCATTTGAATTTACAACACCCCATCTGAGTATCTACATCAACAGCTGGGTGAATGAGAGTATCCAGGAGTGTTCTTTTTAGACATTTAAGTATGTAAACATGCTCTAGTAGTAACCCAAATATACAAGTATGAACCTGAAAATGAGCAGGTTCCTTAAATATGAGCTCTCTAAACTGCAAATAGTTCATAGCTGAATTTCTCTATACACAGGGGGCTGATATAAAGAAGTTGTCCCCCTTTGACTTATGATACATTCCTCTATTACTATTTCTCGTGATGCTGGAGCAGTTGAGAGCCCTGGCCCCTCCAAAGCTCATCTGCCTCCTTGACCAAACATGGCCATAGCTCTTGTCAGACTGAAGATAAACATACCCAGTGAGTACAAGAGGGAACCACAGGCGAGAGGGTGATGGAAATGAAGGAAGAGAGAGAAAGTGACAATGCGCAGGAAACTGATAGTAAGACAGTAGAGAGCTGAGTGGGAGGTTCAGCGTGGATGAGATTGGTCCACATCCTGTTTATCTCAGAGATATGGTTTTGGTTCTCTTGACAAACATTTGTTGTCTCACAGATAGTGGATAATTGAGCCACTTTACTAGCTACTATATCGGCCTTCGCTGCTGCAGAGCTTCTTGGCACAGCTGCTTTCTGAACTCTGGGGAAGCTGCTTAAATTAGCTGTGAATGTGTAGACACTGTATAAATAAGTTCATGAGGTTTCGTGGTTGTCAAAGCCATGGTCAAAAAATACATCTAGCTTACTCTGACTTACACTTGGCTGCAAAAACTATTTTACAGGAGCGATTTCTGGAGCAGGTAAATAACATAATGAAGTGCTTACCAAGCAGTGTGACCTCCTGGGTGAGGCCATAGATATCTATGATGGCCCAGAGGGGACAGCCGATGCTGAGCCCACAGTGGAAGAGGATGGGCTCTCCATCGTTGATGCTGTAGAAAACTCTCCCGTGGCGATCGGCCCAGAATGACAACACGTTGTCCTTCAGGGCCAGCCTCTCAGGCAGAGCTTTGGCCCAGTATCCGGGCCTAGTCACCAGATCTGGGCAAGCGTACTTGGGGATGTCTGTAGTGACCAATTCACTAGGGTCCAAACTGGTGAAACCAAAGCGTAAAGCCCCACTCCATCCGGTGTGCACGCCACTCAGGCGAAGACGCACCTGAATAAAGAGAATGAATTAAGATTCAACTCAATTTAAATCTTTATCTTTTAAAAGCACAATGATTGGGTTGAAAACAAACCTTCTCATAGAGGTGGACCGGCCTGTGGATGAAAGTGATGCCATTACAGAAGCTGTTCTTGCGTGTGGCGCGGCGAAGCTGCCCATCCAGCCTGATGTTCTTGCCCTTGGCGTGGGGGTGAAAGCGGGGGGACTCCACGCTGATGCTGACCGGAGCAGCGGACGTTCTCCTCTCCACACCTACCCCATTGTTAGGCAGAGTGTAGTACTGCCTGTTGGCCACCGGGCGGGGTTGCAGAGTCGCATCTGTGGGCAGCAAAATAGTCAGGGGTACAGTGAGAACAGAGAATGATTGCACCTGATCACCCAAGTTAGAGAGCAATGTGATGATGTGAACAGCAGGTCTGCCTTTGTGTGACTCAGACAAGGTCAACACAGGAATGTTAGAGACACCAGCTGTTGGAAAAAGAGGCAAACATATCAGCACACAATAACTCACTTGCAAGTGGTCCATGGCAGTCGGTTTAGAGGGCAGAGGCCAGTTATGTAAAGGAGCCCACAGTCTCATACACTTCCTTTCCCACACTGACACTAATAAACCTCTGTACTTTTCTCAACAAGTACATTAAACCGTCTCTTTTAGCATGTAATCCACATTTACAGTATATAAAAAGCTGTCCCAAATCAATCTTCTTACCACATCCGTATGGGAAATTTATATTCCAGAAATGAAACAGGGTAAATATAGACAAGGTCCATGTGCAAATATGACTGGGACATTTGGTTTATGTAAAATCAACATATTTTACAGCTATGTAAATATTAATAGCATCAAAGTAGAGAAAATATAACAAAACATTTCGACAAGAGACTTGATAAGCGTTCCTCTTATTTATGGGCTACACACACCCTTGGCCTACAGCATAAACAAACCCTGAATAGCCCCTTTCATTCCTCTAGTTATCTTCCGAAGTGGAATGATTCACATAGTGCGCACTCTGTGAAGAAATATCAAAATGAAAGGCTTAATCTTCAATCTCATCTTCACAGGTGTCAGTGTCCTATACTTATGAGACAAATTTGTGATGCTCATTTTCATGAGCATCACAACATAAATTAACATGGATCAGAAATCAAACAAGAAAGCAAGACATTGGTTTAAAAGAGACTGAACGATGTAGAAGTGTGTTTATGGTATAGACTGGCTGAAATCCAAAATGTGAAGGGAGGCTGCGTTATTATTCGCCTGCAAGGCCACAGAGTGATTACATTTCTGTTTAAAATTCACTGTGATCTGGTGCAAAGGCAATAACTCAGGGAAATGTTCCACAGTACATTTACTAAATTAGACATTATCACTGATTATATTCTAAACTATGAAGCAGCAGGAAGAACATCTGTAACATCTCAAATGATGTGCGGGTGCCCATTCCTTTTTAACTCCGGGGAATTCGGCTTTTGAGGAATTAAAATATACTTTGGATAAAGAGTATGGAGAAAAACATGTTGAGGCTTTATAAGCTCAACTGGCTCGCTAGCGGGGGGAAGCCCTGGGATTCTGCAGTTAAAGGAACTACAGTGAAGGCAGACGCTCGCTTGACATTATTCGATGAAAGGCATCGCCCATCAGGTCATCCACTGACGCCTGAGTCTTTGCCTTTCGTCGTTTATGAACATTATATTCAAGTCACAGGCAATATTTGAAAAGCAGGTTACCTTTTAACACAAATCACTGTTCTAACTTTATTTCCAGACCCCTTCATAAAATGTGATGATTTGTTTGGTATATTCGACGTCCCAGATGAGAAAAGTCAAGATCCCTGACTTTGTAATGTTATTAGCACGCAGGCTTTTTATCGTAAATTGAAACAACTCGCAAAACACACTTTATGGTTAAGACATATATATCTTTATAGCATGTTAACTAAAGAAAGTCAGGTTCATACTTTGTGGTTAAGATGAAAACAATTGAGAAAGTGTGGCGTACCTTTGTGGACTTGACAGACGCTTTCAATCATTTCATACAGTCATTGCCATTCATTTTAGAACAAAGAGCAAGGAAACTCTACATTTTAAATTAAAGGCAATTAAAAAAAACCTTGAGAAGAAAATGGATGATAAAAACATTGTCTTTGCTGGTTGGTTCAATGTGAATCAAACCTAAAGATACTTTGCAGTGTTTCTCACCCCTAGGAGCACTAAAGGGCATTATTTTATATACGTTTTGTTTGCCCTGTAAAGGAGTATGTGATGCAATACACAGTCAGCCAATGGGTTCACAGCATAATGGCGGTAAGGCACTAGGAAATTCAGCAATGGGCCATAAAAGACTGGGAAGAAGAAAACAGCTGGCAAGTAAACCCAGATAATTGGCTACCATATGTGGCTAAGCAAATGTTACATGAGGATAGAAATGAATTTAACACTTTTATTAGGCTTCAATTATGCACCCAAAATGTTTTCCTGAATAAAACCGATTGTAAATGTTGCTCAAGGTTAAAACTCGCTTGATGATACATTTTTGGAAAATCCGTCCCTTTGCTCCATGACTTAAGTGTAATGGTGACATGAGCTGGGGCTGGGTCAATGTCAGCGTACTATAGTTCTTCTACTAGAATTCCTCATATTCTTAATATGTGATATACGCATGATGCAGCATCTAATAAAATAAATAAATGCAATCATATGACTGCACAAGACACACACTGCAGGCAAGGTTTTCTTCAAACGTAAAAGGGATTATGCGCATTCGTCAGGGTTATGTTCGGCCACAAGATGATCAGGCTCTTTATTCCCTCATATCTCTAGGCTGCATGTGTTCATCAGTCATTCACTGCGAGCAGGGCATGAGCCTCTGTGGATTTGAGGGGCTGTTTTGTCACATTTTGCCTCCAGAAGTTGTGAACATGAATTTCTTGGTGAAAACACCTCAATGGTATCAATTGATACTGTTTCACAGCTGGTCCAATGACTTATTCATCACATAGGCGTGAAAAATGACTTTATACTGAGTAAGATAAATCTACTTTCAAAAATGTTGTGCACATAATAGTAAACACAGATATTATTTGAATACAGTGTTAATGTAAAGCACAAAGTGCAAGCAAGGATCCACGCTGCTGCTTCTCTGTGAACAACTGTTCTCAGTCAAAGCCCTATGTCTCTGGTGGCAGTAACCACATCATTCAGCCACAGCGCGCATGGGGGTGTGGGAGTGTGAAGGACATTAAATCAAAAATGGAGAACAGATGATCAAATGTGCTGTAGGTATCATGTCAAAGCGATCTACTGAGAGCTAATGATGACAGCTTTTGACAAAAACTGGGGGAATAATTCATTTGAGATTCTGCTTTATGTAAAACAGCTTTGATACTTAAGATAAGAGCAGAGTTATTACAGATATATTGCGTGCAGAGAATGGTCATTATGTATTGATTGTTGAGATTCTAGTAAGGATTGTAGTGTATTGACGTTATTATTGGATGTGTCCTCGTATTGTTTTGTTTTGTGAATCCTATGTGACTTAGCCACAGTGCTTGGATGTCTCATTGGGATTCATTAGTAGTTTATCTATTCATCTATGAAAGAACGTTGTATGGCAAAAAAAGAAAAAATCCCAACTGAGATTAAAGCCAGATAACAGAAACAAGGGAAAACAATTGGATTGTACACAAATCATGACCACAAGTGCTATTTAATGCACAGGCTGCATGGTTTTCCAAATATTTTTTCTGTAGAAATCAGGGATGGATTTAGATCATTCAAAAATAGTAAATATAAATTCCAAAAGCTACACTAATATGTTTATTGTGATAGGATATTTGCTAGTTTCAAATAACCTTTCTTGAAAATGTGTTGACGATAATCCTACATCACTGCTTATTATTCTCCAAGTGATGATGAGTAAAAAGTGAATTTTGGGAGCGCTTGTTTGTTGTCGCTCCCTGGGAATCACGCTCAGCTCCCCCGTGATGGGAAGCGCGTCTCCACGCAGAGCGAGCACAAGTAGAGAAATCAGAACTAACCATGTGTATCTCAACATATAACCTCTAACACATGAACAGCTTCGTGTAAGTGCATCGCAAGCCTCCTGTATGACACATTAATATGAACAAGTCTCACCTATTAAAGGCTTAGGTGTCGTATTCCCCATTATATCCAGAAATTCCTCGCACTGGCTGACAAGTTAATTCCGATTGCAATACTTCTCTGTTCATCCATGTATCCTCGGTGTGATGAGTATCTGCCTGGAACCAGTTCAATGTGAGTATCAGTGGCTTCAAATCGCACCGTATCTCCGCGCTGAAGCATGGACGCGCTCTTCTTAATGTCAACCCCGAGCCGCAGCGACAGGCGGACACCTCCAACTGGCGCACGGCAGCCCCCTCCTTTCTGTAGTAGGCTCCCCTCTGCACGACTTTAAAGACACAGTGAGCAGAGATCCCCCCTCAAGAGCATCACAGAGCCTCTGAACAATATTTAATTATTCACTTAAAGGCTCTGATGAAGACTAATGACTATACTGTTGTCTATAGGACACGCATCCTGCTTGTTGGGGATGCTAATCTCAAGGAAATGTGCTTTGTCAATACATTTACATACAGAAGGGTATGCAGACAGCATAGGGAAAATGTTGATGGCAATACAAAATGATAACACGATCATTGATCATGTGTTTCCAAAATCATTTGCTTTTGAGTATCCTGAAGATGTGAAACTGATAGAGTAAAGAGATTTACGAGATTAAAGGATTCACTCACTGATCCCAGAGACATGAAAACATATGTTTTTAAACTATTAATATGCTGGACACACAGATACGCATACTTTAATAAAAGTCCCAGCATCACATGAGGAAATCCCCCTGATTTCCCACCCTATCCTCTGCCCTCCCACAGCCTTGACTGCTGGGCTTCTCTCAAGCTGTTTCCTGTCTTCTGGACCACGCCACTCTCTAAGGAGCCATGGCCTGCAGGGTTTATAGACTGAGACCATCAGTGAGGGAGTGGAGGGAGGGCCGGGACAGCGTATCTAACCGTGGTGGACAATTAGAGAGGCCGGGGGCGCTACTGCAGCTGTGTGTCAAACATTCCTGCTGGTTGAGGAATTACATTGTGTGAAAATGTAGATATATGCAAGATAATATTCCTTAATGCCAATATATGCTCAAATCATGACTAATTGGGAAACAGCAGAACCTTCTGCCTCATGTTTGCAGGATTACGATACAGACATCATCCATTTCACATGGAAAGAACAAATGCTTCCCCAGCTGCCAACATGGTCAAATATGATTTAACTCTGTTTGAGGGCAAACAAATCTCGTGAGAGACGGCGTTTGGGTGAAGCCAGGCAGGAACTAAATATAACTCAAAGACAAAAGCATTTGTTTCTACCTCCTCAATGCTGTTTGTTTAAGCAGGATATGGTGGCTCTCTATAAGTGCCTTTGGTGAATAGTGTTTGGGGTGAAGCATAGCAGAAGTGAAATTCCCCTCACGCCCTGGCTGCTGCCTCAGAAAGAAAGATCTGCTCTGGCAAAGGGGGATTAACACAGGAAGTGATATGAGGCTGCAATGGAGTCTGCAATCAAGCTTTCCCTGTAAACACAGCAGAGTGCATTAACAAGTGCTGCTTCTCCTAATGCTCGCTGTACTGCCTGAGTGCAGACTATGGGCTGCTTATGAATGCACAATGATTGCTGGGCTGAATATCTTTAAAAGGAAGGGTGCTTTCAGGTTAATTTTTAGCACAATCACGCAAGACATTGCTGATTGTCTGCAGAAATAGCAGAGAGCTCAAGGTTTAGGGAAAATCATTATAGATACAATAACAGTTGGTAAATGGACAACAGATAATTTAATGATGACTTCAACACATTTAAAAAAGAACATATTAATTGCTCAATTCCTTTCACAAGCCACCATTAACTAAAACCCTGGTGCACTTCAACCCCTGGTGCAATTTGCTTGATCACTAGTAAACCAGTTATTGTTAAGCATTGAAAAACAAGAGAGAGGCAAGACCAGGACCAGGAGGATTCAAGCAGACCCTAGGTCAGCTTGATTGGAGTGAGAAACTAAACTAACCCAACTGCATAGAAACATCTAAACACAGGGATTTTGGCTGCCTTTACAGGCATTTGTTAAGATAGACAAAGGTTCAGTAAGGATTGAATTATTTAGAAGTTTGATATTGTTTGACATCTGGCCTGAAGAGAACATAAGGAATATGCTGAATAAAATACACAACAAATAGTGATCTTCAAGTCAATAGAGACTAACTGCAGGAGAAGGGACCGGCGTTTTCCGCCATGATGCTCGGTTAGCAATTCGTTTGTTGATTTTCATGTTTACTTTGTCCAACACCAAATCTCTCCCCAATAGGAATGACTTCAGGGAGTATGTTTCTGGCCATGTTCCTTCACACATGCCCTTAAGCAAATACTTGTTTTTTTCTATTTGGTATGCCTTAAATGGTGCACTGTGGCACTGAACCCCATTCAAACCAACAAAAAGCATACATTTCACTTTGATCGGACAAGCCAAACCAAATATGTTTTTAAGTCACCTTTGGACAGAACCAGGCTAACTCTTTCCGGCTGTTTCCAGTCATTGTGCTAAGCTAAGCTATCTGGCTGACAAACCTTTAAAGTTACATTACATGACGTTTGTTTTTGCATTTAGTTGTCTAATGTGTGGCATTTACCAGGATTAATTCTCAGAAATAGAAAATGTTTTTGCATAAGATTTGAAGGCGTATAATCGCCAGAAACTGAGAATCTTTATCTTTTAGTTACTGTACACTTCAATACACCCTTGATATAATGTATAGTATAGTCTATAAAGCTAACAAAAACACAACAATCATTGGTTTCAGTTGATTATCCACAAATGTAAAACAAATTCTAAATATTATACTTAATTTCTCCCGATTAATCCAAACATACTGGACCATAAAAGTGTACTTGATATTAAAGGTCCCATGTCATGGCCATTTCTACTGATCATAATTCCATTGTTGAGGTCTACTAGAATATATTTAAATTGTGCAATTTTCCAAACTCACATTGGTTTCTCATACAGCATCTCTGTGTATGTGTGTTCACTCTCTGTCCTTAACGGATTGTTGGAGCTCCTGCCCCCCCCCTCCCAGTGTGCTCTGATTGGTCGGGACGTTGCGAGGCTCGCTGATGCGAGGAGCGGACAGGTTTTCGGGTCGGCGATACAGCGAGAACAAGCGAAACTCATCCTGAGCACACACAAACAATCACAAGTAAAAACAATAAGTGTGGCTTTATATTGAGTAAGAAAAAGGTTTATAACGCTGTGAGAATGGGTCTGCGGGGAGCATTTCTCCGCAATCCCAACTCGTCTACTACCAGTGTTCAGGGAGCTCTATGCAAGTCAATAGGGACTCCCTGTTAGTTAGCCAAGGGATCCTGGTGTGTGAGGTGCTCCGCGGATTGGTCCATTTGGGCCAATCTTGTCATTTGCTGTTGATTTGGGTGTTCACACGTCACAGAACCCAGGAAGCAAACGATGGAAAATGAGAAATCTCCAACGAGGCGTTTTGGGGCAGCATAGACAGGTATTTTCTGTGTTAGAGTTTTACTCGCTACAGGGTGTACTTTAAGGGTTTGTGGCTCTGGAGACCGTTTACATGCAGAAAAACCTTCATAACACACAAGGGGACGGGTAAT